CCTGTCTCAGGGGAAAACAAAACAAAACAAACTCCCAACAACCAAAAATGCAGCTCATGTGTTTCCAGTTCTGCAAGTTGTTGTGTGGGAACATTTTCATCTTCCTATAGATACTTCTGGCATCATTTTCTAATAGTAGAGGGTGGGTTGTTTTTATGCTTTGTTGTTGCCTTACTTTGTCACACGCAAATCATAGTTGTTCGGTACATAGGGAGACAATTCCTAAATTAATAATGAATTAAACTATCTTTTGAACTTTTTTTTCCAAAAGTATGTCCTCTTGAGCAACTTGCTGCCGAGTAGCAGCTTCATTTTCTATTTTCAAGTTTATGCAAAGTACATGCATAGGGGAGGAGTGGCTTGAGAGAAAAACCTCTGTACATTTAAGGGTTGTCATCTTCTGGATTTGCCAGCGGTTTGCAGTTTAACACCTGCCAGTCTGTCAGACTTAACTGCACCCGCTCTGTGGTATTAAAACTTTCTACAATTAAAAACCTCCCAGCTATCAACAGAACTTCAAGGCCAGTGTAGAGTCTTCCCTTAGGACTCGGCGAAGAGCCAAGCAGGCTTACAACCTCAGATGGGTTTGAGACCAAAGCAATCTGCCACAGGTCTGTGACAGGTCTGCTGCTGGCTTTGCTGCATCTGCTGACAACTGAACCTGCAGCACACTGGTTACAAGATCAGGCTTCTGGGAGATGCTTTACACCTGGAAGGTACAGAACAGGAAAAACTTTTGTCAATTTAATATCTAACACTTTTAAGGGTATAAATAATTTAAATCCAGTTGCACCAGCATTTGATTCATATAAGATCTTAAGGAATCCTTGCAGTCAGTCTTTCCAAAACCTCCAACTGCCAACCCCGATAAGGCTACGAGTCTCGTGGGGGCCATGAAGGGAGCCTGATCCACTCCCCCCCCATGTGTCCATGGGGCAAGCAGAGCTGCTCATGACCTGCTGCAGCTTAGTTATGCCCTTGCCCACATCATGGTGGAAGCACCACCACCTGTTTTGACTTCTCTGCTTGCGGGTCATGGGGTGCAGTGATGTTACTTGTTCCTTTCATCTGTTATGTCTTGCGCCAACATGTGCCTGGTTCCGGCTCGCTGGGAGGCCAGGCCCCCCTTCTCCCTTAGGGGGCATGGGTGTCCATCCCTGGGGATGCTGCTGGCCCCTGCATGATTATGGGGGCTGCTGCTGACTGCGCTTGGGCAGCCGTCTCCTCTGGCTTTGGAAGGTGGTGGCTGTGCCTGGGGCTGGTTCCTTTGTGGGTCCAGCCAGGCTGGCTAAGGGTGCTCTGAGAGCAACTGTGTTCAAACTGAAAGCACGACAAGCGTACACCTTGAAGGCGGCATTGGAGCAAAGCAGAAAAGGCAAGCCTCCTGTCTCTGACATTCAGATAAGGTGCAGCCAATACCCATAAAGCAGTGACCCCACAACCTCTCTTCTGGCAGCAATGTGATACCTTCTGCTGCAGGGTTGTTTACGTCTTGCTGTTTGCTAATTTCCAGCAGCCATGGAGAAGCCCAGTCACATAGGGTGTGAATGCACTTGGCTGAGCTGGTTCATACACTGTGAGGAAATAATTGATGTCAACTGACATAGCTACGTTGACTTTACTGTATCTGTGCTGATATACTGATGCACAATTACCTACAGAAAGGGAATATAATCTTGTTTACCTTCTCCAGGCTCAGCAGCATGTTATACTTCAGGAGAGTGTGGGAAGCAAACAGCACGCTTTGAAGCAAAAAATTTGCCTTAGTCAAACCCAGGCAAAACACTTCTGGTTTTTATATCCTAGGCTGGAGCACTATAGTTCAGTAAAAAGATTGTTTTGTTTTGCTATAGCAGAGTTTTTCCTGTATAAAAAATGTTTTAACTTCTTGGAAGTGGGTTCTGGGATCAGAGAATCCTGGAATGGTTTGGGTTGGAAGGGACCTTAAAGATCATAGAGTTCCAACCCCCTGCCATGGGCAGGGACACCCTCCACTAGACCGGGTTGCTCAAAGCCTCATCCAGCCTGGCCTTGAACACCTCCAGGGATGGGGCATCCACAGCTTCCCTGGGCAACCTGTTCCAGTGCCTCACCACCCTCATTGTAACAAACGCCCTCCTTCTGTCCAGTCTAAATTTACCCTTTCAGTTTAAAACCACTGCTCCTTGTCCTGTCGCTAGAGGCCTTTGTAAAATGTCTCCATCTTGCTTATCAGCCCCCTTTAAGTATGGAAATACCGCAATAGGGCCTCCCAGGAACCTTCTTTTCTCTGGGCTGAACAACCCCAACTCTCTCAGCCTTTCTTCATAGGAAAGGAGGTAAACTTGCAGCTAAGAGGCAGTTTGAATGTCAGTTCCCTTCCGTGCTGTGCTCTGGGTTACCTCACCAGGTGAAATTCTCTGGCTGCTACAAGTATTCCATGTGTTTGTGTGCACAAGCTCCCTTCCCTTCTCAAAAGAGCAACTGTGCAGGCTTTGGAGGAACGTGGGTATGAGTACACAGACCTGAAGCACATGACGCACACAAAGTACAAAAGTTCAAGTCTGTGTGGCACCTTGTCGGGTTTTGTGGTTTGTTTTTCCTGCACCATGCCTGTGCATTCAACTCAATGCAGTGCTGATACCGCACTGAACAAACTTGTTACAAGTCAATGTTATGTGAGTCAGAGAAAATCGAGAGGCAAAGCAACTGTTGGAGAAAGACCTACCTGCTCAGGTTTTACACACATAAAAAAATCAGCTGCTTAGGAAGATCAGGCAATGTATTAGCCATAAAAATCCAAATAGTTTGTTGTTCTTGACATAGTTGGTTTTTACAGATTTGCCCAACCTCCACTTGAATTCTCTTTAAACACTGAACATGCTGCATTGCCCGAGGTGCATGCTGTAAAAATCAAAAGTGATAACTGTGTGATTGTTCTAGCAACACCTGGAAGAGGTAAATTGATGATTCTAGGGTGTTTGTTACTGCCATGTGTAATTTAAAAGAATTGGCAAATGTGGAATAGATTTGGCTCATGTTGACTGCAATGTTTTCAATTCTTAAGTATTTTGTTTAGCTGAAGCAAATACTAGTGTGATTAGTTTGTTCAGAGGCTGCCTTTCAGAGCTACAGTGTGGCCAGAGAGCTCATTTCAAGCTCAGGTAATTTCTCTGTTTATGGATGTATCTAATTATATGTACAACTAATCTAAGTGAGGCAGTGTGCTAGCAAAGAGCTTTAACTTAGTTTGTACTTTATATTTTTTGCAGAGGTAACACTTGTCAAATTGGGTTAATGTTGGTTTTCTGAACACTGTAGAGCATGAATAATACCTTCCTTTAATCTGCAACACTGTAATTTGCTGGTTTAAATTGTTCTTCCGAACAACAGATGAAATACTATTCCAGTAGTTCAGTTTAAAGAAGCAGTTTTAGAAACACAGCTTCTTGGATCTTTTTAACTGCCATGAAATAAACATGTGTTGTTCCTGGCTGAAGAGTTGGAACTTCAGTGGAGAGAGCTTTCTGGTAGTGCTTTCTTAATTCCTTTGGTGCAAACACAGTAATTCCACAAAGCAGTCCATACGCATTGTATTGAAAACCACTGTTTACAAAATGGAAATAATCAATAAATAGAGGTGTAGAAAAAAACAGATTTTATTTATGATACAGTGAGGATGGAATGTAATTATAAAAGCCAAGAAGCACCTGAAGGAGGAGTGAGGTGGACTGTTGAAAAATGAGTTGTTATTGCTATAAAAGTCTCTTTGATTTCAGTTTTAAACATTCAGGTATATAATCAGACTATAGAGACTACAGAAATAGGAACAGAAAGCAATTTGCAGCAGATTCTTTTCCCCCCTCTCTTGCATTGGTGACTCTGGGCTAAATAACTTCTTTCTACAGAAGGCAAAAGCTATCTGTTCCGGCCATTGATCAAGCCTGGCACACAGTAACCTGGTACTCTATGGGAAAAGATGCTGCCAGATAAATACCCTGCTTCCTTCCCCTTTGCTTTTGCAAGGATGGCTGCATGCAAGTTGGTATGGTTGTCACATTGCCACCTGTCCCCAGCTGCCCGGACAGCATGCCTTCAGACAGACAGACAACCGGCAGGTCTGGAAGTTCTGCATTGGAAGGTCATGTGGTATTGAGCAATATACTCTCCTGCAAAACCTACCCTATGTGCGATGGCTGCTCCGACAGCATGTGGTTGCAATCTGTGTTGAGTGGCTTGGTTTCGGGGGGAAAGGCTGCAATGCAAAAACCACTCAGTGCTGTTGCTGCCGTGTGGGTAGTGTGACACAGATGAATGTCCACAGCACATCAGAACAAGAGACCTTATTAATGATCCCTTGGCCTGGGGTATGTCTAGAAAAAAATATTCACGTTTGCAAAATAACATGCTGATCTGCCTCATATAGTCTCCTAATCAAAATAGGAAGAGTTGCATTTTGTGGTCACTCATTTTTGGAGGTCTGTGGGCTTCTCTGCTATTGCCAGTGGTTAAGTGCTAAAGCAGGGTGAGGCTTGAAAAAAACAAATACAATAAAAAGATGATTGTTTAGGGTGTGTTTGAAATGCCCAAGCATAAAATACTGACATCAAGGTTAGGTTTCAATGCTGGACATAAGCACCTTTCAGAGCACATTTTCAGTGTTTTGCAAGGGTTTAGCACTTTGATCACCCTGTGTTAATTTAGGTAACTGCAGCTGTTAGTGTTTACTGTTGTGACAAAGACAGTTAATAGAAAAGATATATATGTATTCTCTTAAAGTAAAGGCGGTGGGTATTTGACCAAGGTAACCATTTATTACTGAAGTTCTTTTGGTGTTTCAAAGCTGTGAGTATTTGTATCATTTGGCAAATGACATCATGTTAGACTAGCAAAAAATGTATATATACCGTATAGTAGGAGAATACAGCACTAGATCTGTGTGTTAGACTTGTGTTACACTTAATTTGCTTTTAAAGACATTTTAAAAAATTAACTTTCCATTCAGCTTTTGAGGTAATAAGTTAAAAAAGCACCAACATGATTTATTCAAATGTCTAATCATCATAGAAGGTTCCACTGCATAAGACCCACACGATCAGCAGATTCCTTATACTGTGAAAGACTTCTATAAATTTTTCATACAGACTTGACATCTGCTGATATGGCTTCGGATGAGTCCTGCCTTGAGTGTATCTGCGGAGGGCTTGCTTTGGAAGGGCTGGTCGATCGTAGTGAGCCAGAAGCTGTATTTATTTGCAAAGTAGTGACAGGTTCCACGTGCACCGTTGCATTCGATGAAAGGAGTCGCTCTGAAATCTTCCAGGCAGCTCCCAGGAGAAACCAGCGACTGTCCTCCACCTTCATCACCAGCAGCTGTGTGCTAAATGAGACAAGGAGGGCAGTGTTCAGAGTACAACCTCAGGCAATGCTGTCAAAAACTTACATGTGGGAAAAGAGAAAAACCACTAGAATTGCTCCTAATTCTTATCTCCAGACCAGAAAGTCAGCTAATCCTGCAAATATGGAAGGCTTAAGGTTTTGGCTGTACTTTAGCTATACAAAGGTGCTAGCTCATATGTTGATGCCACTTTAAACTCTTCTGACAAATACCTTTTCTATAGTTAAGATTTTCAGTGTTGGAAGTCTTAGAATTGGAGAATCATTTAGGTGGGAAGGGCCCACTGGAGGTCACTTCAGCCAGTCCTTGCTCAAAGAAACGACAAGTTATCCTTGGTCGCTCCAGTGCACGGTTGAGTTCTTAGTACCTCCAAGGATGGAGTTTCTACAACCTCTCTGGGCAACCTGTTCCTCTCTTTCATTGCCCTCACTGAGAAGAACCTTCCACCATATATCTAACTTGAATTTCCCTAATTATAAAGTCTTACTGTGCATCGCCTATGAGGAGCACTGTGGAAACAAAAAAATTAGCTTCCATACAAGTTAACTAATTTCCTCTACAGCATATTCTTTGACAGCAAATTACCCCAAAATTATGCATCTCTGCACCACTCAACTGTTACCTTTAACACATACTGTGATAACAAACTGAGTGTTACTTTTGTTCTGTCAAAGGCATCACTAACAAAACAGACATTTCCTCTGTGCCACTAAGAGCTTTACAGCTGCATTTTTAAGTTTTAATTTTCTCTTAAAAACTGAAGGGATTTGCAATATAAAGGAAAGCAGCTGGAAAATAAAGTTGATAAATACTTATGTAAATATATAGAGAAACCTGCACGTATCCAATATGTTTGCCTGCCTATGTTTTAATAAACATATTATAAAAGTGAAAGCCATAACTGGCTCAGTTTATGCTGCGAGAGGCCTCCTGTGTTCATATAAATGAGTAACAGAAGTGGACACCTTTTAACAGAGTAAAGGACTCCGATCTCTGGATCATCTTGTAGATGTTGCTGAGGTTGCTGAGGTTTAGATACTTGTTTTTAAAAAAAAAAATGCCAAAACAACAACTCCCTCCCTCTAAAACTGCCACCCAATCCCCAAAGCTGCAGCCTACCACCTGTCTTACAAATCTGCAAAATTCACTAAGCTATGAAGTTCAGGAGCAAAAACGTCCTAGCATCCCTCTACAGGAACAAAGTTGGTAAGAAGCAGCATAAATTGTTACAGCTTTGAGGCCTTTGCAGTTGGAGGTGGAAAACAGTGAGTAAAAACCACATAATGCTGCTTGAGCCCTGGCTTGGGAACAGACCTGCTTGACAACCTCATGACAAGTATTCCTGCACTCAGTGTACAAGCTCCATCTCTAGGCCAGTAATATCTCGTATTGCATTTTCTTTATCTTTCTGCAACACTTATGCCACCCAGCCTTTACAGGATGTACGATAGGGGAGGGCCCTTGCTACATGAAATCTTACTGACTTCTATGGCTGTTTGGGCAGGAGCACATGGTGACTCCCTTCATGATTGTGCCTTACCCCGGGAAGGAGGTGACAAATTTAAGCCAAGGAAGTAAACCAATATGCACTCTGCGATAACAAGTGTGGTGTACTTCTTCCATAGTTGCTGAGAAGCAAAAATGTATACACCAAACACTTAATTTGCTCTGAACGTTAGCTGGGAAAATGTGAACTCTTCTTACTGTGTGCTTCTTGGTGCTGGCTGACTTTGTCCTGCCAAAAGGTTCTTGCTAGGGGTGACAACTTTGCTCTTAACAATGCTCAGTGTTTACACAGGGTTCTGCAAACATTTAATTAATCCTTGGAATTCTTGTGAAGTAACTATGAGATTGGTATCAGGGCTTTTTGTAGAAGGAAAAGAAAGGTCAAACATAGGGCTGGTCAAAAATTTGACCTGCCCTCTGAAAACTTTTTTTTCCCTCTTGTAACTAAATGAAAAATATCAGATTTCCCTTTATCTTATTTTCTGGAAAAAAAAAAGGTTTTGGCTTTTGACAGGCAAATGGCTTGCAGGTAAGACTGACTATTGTTCTTCTATGATGTTTTCTGACAGAGAAATCTTTTTTCCCAACCTTGTTTACTTCAGCATTCAGCCTAGTCTCTAATGAGTTAACAACATGGGCATACTGTTGCAGGTTTTGACTCTGGCATACATCAAGTAAGTCAGAAAAATGAGCATCTGCCAGGTCATTCACTAACACATTCTAGGTGCTCTTTACCATGTTAAGCCCTCCAGAGCTTACATGATCCCTCTGTACAGTCTTGCGAGAAGGTCAGGCCCTTTTCTGTAACATCCCACTACCTAATTGTAAGATCTCAAGATCTAAGAGATCTGTAAGCTATGGGAGATACAGCTCAGCTCCTGTTGCCATTAGAGATACAACACTGAAGTTTAATTTTAAAAACAACAGGAGGCTGTCTCTCTTTCCAGACTAGCTGAAAGTCTTTGGCTTCTAAATCTTCGATCAAACATCAATGATTTTAAGTTTCCAAAAGGAGGGGAAAAGTTTTGTTTTGTTTTTTTTTTTTTTTTCTCTCCAGATCAGCTTCGCAATAGTGATGTACGTAAGTAACAACCAGTCTGTAGCTGTGGAAATGCTTTGTAGGCTACTATCACACCTCAGTGCAATTTTATTTGCTAATCCACAGCTCTCCCTGTGTTCTGCTCCAAAGTACTATTTTGTACATAAAGTAAGGACTCCAGATGCTAGGCTGACAAAAGGCAATTTTCTCTGCAATTCACAGAAATTTTGTTTCTCCTCTTCTGCTTCCTAGAAACTAGTTTTGTAGTTCCCTGATTCCCCAGTATGATGCATGGTTTTTGTGTTGCTGGGTCTAAAACAGAGCAGCCTTCCTAGTATCCAGGACTCAAATTTAAAACCCAGTGCCACACAAAATGTGACACTGGAGAATAAATACCATAAGGAAGGAATAGCCGATCCACAAACTGCGCCAGCCTTCAGGGCAGTGAGGAATAGAAGCTTCTTGGCTATGGACAGCAATTGCCACAGCTGGGGCCTCACAAACTGAGCAGCGACTGATATATGGCCTAATCTCTTCTTCTGCAACAGGCATCATTGGAAGAGGAGCCGTTGTTGAGAGCCAGTAGGATTTATCATTTCGACTTGCATAATAACAAATGTCCCCAGGGTTACAGTAGAGGAATGGCATAGTGCTAAACCGAGCCAAACATGAGCCAGCCAGCCCTGTTAAAAAAGAAGGGGAAAAAAAAAAGAAATTATGGCAATCATTCTCACAGAAGACAATGCACGTTTTCAGTTTCCTGCTCCTTCCCAAACATGTGTCAGTACAACCCTGCAGTCCAGAATGTTTTGCTGGGTTTACAGGTCCCCTTGAACAACACTAATGACTTGCAGGAGCTCCCTCAAGGGTACTCTGTGCAGACACAGTTTTCATCTTCTCGTTTTGGTGTTTCCTAAGCCTGTTTGCTGAAGTCCCAGCTTTCTTTTTTTTTTTTTTTTTTTTTTTTGTTGTTTTTTTTTTGTTTTTTTCAGACAGTGAGATGGAATTGAGGCTGCTGCCAACAACACCTGTACGTACCTAGATCTTGGTTGTGTGCTTTCTCTTGTCCTTCAAAGTACAGTAGGCTGTATCCACTCCAGAGTTTGTTCATGCCAACTGGGCACATTGGCTCTTGATCAGACTGGCTGTGCTTCACCAGCAGGTAGCCCATGCTAACGCTGCGACCCGGCATGCCTGGCAGCCCAGGGCTACCGGGACGGCCTGGCTGACCTTAGACGAGGCAGGGAAAAGAAATAATACAATTTAGTTTGTGCTCCCATTAATGCTCTGATGCTAGCTGATGTTCCAGCTAAGATGCTGATGAACAAAGCTTAATTGCATGATGCTTCTTCTTATGGTAAGTTACTGTTAAAACAGCTGTAGTTCTAGGACTACAGCAGTAGCTTTTGAAGTAGATTGGTGCTAGATCAGGCTTCCTGGTTTCTAAGATGCTATATTTCACTGTCAGAGCCAGGGAAAGTCACATATAATGTTCTGATGAATTTGAATGTAACTCTGAGCATATTTTTCCTTTAAAATGTTTTCTCAGTCCAAGATTAACCAATGGTTTTTGAGTTGCTTGCATTTGCTTCATACGGTTAAAAATATGTTCTGCAAATACCTTCTTCTCTGTGTACTTAGCTAATTAAGATAGTAATCGTTCTGCTCTTTGATTGTATAAGGAAACAGGTATTTCTTTCACAAACACATTCCCTTAAATATCATCTATCCAAATATCACCTACCCAACCATTCATTTCCATGATTGTAACCGTTAGAAAAACACTTGGCTGAAATACTTAAGAGAAAACCAATACAGAAATACACTCAGATCAAAACAAACTCACTCACGTGAGTAGACTGACATCTACATCTACCCAAACTTATTTCAAAAATATTGCTTTAAGATAACACTGTTAAAAGTTACTTTGTTGTCCCTTGCGAAGAAGATGTGATGACAGAAACTTTCTCCTCCTCTCCTCCCCATCCAGTGATGTAGTAACTGCACAATTTACGGCAGTGAAATGGGAAAGAGGGAAGAAGTGCTGTGTGACATCTCTTACCTTCAAATCCCACTGGACCCTGAAACCCTGTTGCTCCTTGTTCACCTCTGGAGCCAGGAGGAGCTGGAATGCCACCTCTGCCCTGGAGTCCTGGCTCTCCAGGTGAGCCTCTCAAACCTGGCACCAACAACAGTTATAAGCACAGTGACTGCAGAGATATCAACATGCTACCCGCTTTGTTAACATGTGCTCTACTTGCATATATTTGGTCCTATCTGCTAGGTTTACCAATTTACACTAAAGGCAAGATCTTATGGTTCCTGCTCAGGCAAAGAGCACGGACTTCATTGGAAAAGATGGCTGGGATCAAGACTACATGAGTGGCACAACCCTAACCTTTCTTGCTACCACCATGCACCTCTGATGAGGCTAGCAGCAAGAGGTGCACTGCACTGGGGCCACACATCACTAACACTACATTCCCTGGGTTGACAGCATACCCACAAAGATATGTGCATTTCCACCAAAGACATTTAATCTTGTTTTAAGTGAGATCCATATCTGATGTTGCTTTGGCTATGAGTGTTGTCATAGTTTTTTCCTGTTTTGCTGATGTTCTGAATGCTAGGAGGAGGAAGAAAGCCAAGCCCTAGCTTTGAAAGACCAAAACTTGACTTCCCTTTCAGACTTACAGAATTCAAAGTAGATGAGAGTCAGTGGAGTGCTCTGGTGGCCTCACTGTGCTACGGGGAACTGAGTGTGCAATTCTTACCTGGATCGCCTGGTGGACCCTGAGGTCCCATATCTCCTGGGCTTCCTTGAGGTCCTATATTTCCACGGGGACCTGGTGAACCTTGCTCAGCAACCAGCCTTGGAGGAAGAGGAGGCAGCCCAGGAGAGCCTGGAGGGCCTTGAAAGCCTGTGGTTGGAAGAAAGATGAGATAGTCCGATTAAAAAAAAACCCTACATTTTCCTTAATGTGCTTTCATCCATAGATACGTTGATGTTACTTGGCTGCATATGTGAGAGAGGGACTGGACTGCAACTCAGTACCTTGGGTATAGCAGCTATATTTATTTTATTGGGGAAATGTGTGTGAGTATGGGGATTGTCTTCCCTAAGCAGAGATAAGCCGAAGGAAATTAATGATGCTACTGCTCCCTCACTTATCACACAGGAATTTGGGAAGTTCCCCCCAAATAGCCAACAGCTCTCTGAGATGCAGCACCATCTTTTGGTGGTCTTCTGGAGACACAAATACATGATGGTATAGATGGAATGAAGGATTTAAAATATCTATTTCTAAATATCCAGTATGTCTACTCTGCAAGACTGGTTTAGATCAGTAATTATTCTTTTTTTTTAACCCAAAAAGTAGGCACCTTGTACAAAATAAATTCATAAAGGCAAAAAGTTGACTCCCCATGTTAATTTTAGGCACCTGTCCACTGGAATTTGCCAGGGGTCACACAGAGCCATGCAGATTGGAAGGAACTCTGTGGGTCATCTAGCCCAACCTCCTGCTCAAAGCAGGGCCAGTTAGATCAGGTCTGTGGAGCTGCAGAATGAGTAGTTCAGAGAAGAGTCATGCAGTCGCTTACTCACCAGTTACTCCTCTATCTCCCTTGGGTCCAATGGGTCCCAAATCACCTGGAAATCCTACTTGGCCCATAAAGCCGATGACACCTTGTTCACCCTTACGACCTTTAATGCAAAATGACAGGTGGCATTACTGCATTTCAACACAGATCAGGTGAGTACAAAAGTCATGTTATTAATGATGCTGTAGCACAGAAGGTTCCCCTACCCCCCGGCCAAGATCAGTGGTTCACATCCTTACCTTTTGGTCCAGGGTACCCGGGAACACCAGGTCTCCCTGGTGATCCAGGATCACCTCTACTTCCTTTTGGGCCAATTTGTCCACTCACACCTGGTTGTCCACTTTCTCCTTTGCTTCCTGGTGGAGCTGGTATTCCAGGCTGCCCCTGTAGTCCTGGATAGCCTGTTTAGAGCACATATAGGTTGTCATCTGTTTGTACTTGAGACCTGGACACAGGGGAAAATAGCAGTACTATCTAATTGTATCCCATCAGGTTTTATTTCCTTAATTGAAGCAGGGAGCTAATGCTTAGCTCCCCAACAGACTTATTCAGGACTCCTGTTCCTGCTCCTAGGCTGGCATACCCTTCTGCTGCAGTGGTAGAGGAATTAGAGGATGAAACTCCCAAGAAGCACGGTGTTATCTCAAGCAAGATTTCAGAAGTGGGGTGCCCGCTAAGATACAGCCTTCAATTTCCTTCCCCAGCAAATGCCCCCCTTCACGGGGTGCCTCCCTGCTTCATCCTAAATTCTCCAAGTAAATAGAAATTAGAGAGCAGCGAGTACCTGACTCAGTGCCAGGTGGTAAATAAGCCAAGGACTTACTGTTTCATGTATCTTAGTGCTTCAGTTGAACATCTGGATACAAGTAAATACTTGATGCTGTCTTGGGAATTATGGGAACAGCTTCTTTTTCCAGAATTACATATTGCCTGAAGCTAAACCTGGCAGATTTCTCTCCATTTACCTCTGCTGCCTAAGAAGACACTTGGACCTTGTTTCCGAGGAGAGAGGGACTTACTAACCAGGGGTTTGAGTGGGGCATCTCTTGTGCTGCCTGTTGAAGTTGGATCATGTGTGGATATGAATGCAAGATGCATGTGGCAAAGTAAGAGAGAGCCATGCCTGTTTCACCGTTTTATCTGGGAGATGGTGTTCCTGTTCCCACTCTCCTGACTGCTTCATTGTATTTTTTGATCAAATGACTGCCTGGGGAGCAGGAATCAGTATGTAGAGTTAGGCCAACCAATGTTCTCTTTCCATTTGGAAACCTAGGTATTTTGTTGGCTTTCAGCTGGTTTGCCTGTTTTAAGTTTTTGATGGGTTTACACAAAAATTTCCATGCATATGCATCATATAAAGATGATAGTGGGACACCTGCAGCTTCTGCTACAAGCTCTTCACAGTGGCACTACAGTTTGAAATAATTGTGCAATCCAATAAGCAACAGGTATATATCAGTCTCTAAATACATAGAGGCACAGAGAGGCTCTTTTCATATGTGTGAGAGAGGCAGGCTCATAGCAAGGACTTTCAGAGAAAAGAGCTAATGCTTCCCAATGCAATTTAGTTTGCATGATAATTTCACAGAGGAAAATTTTGTAAATGATTAAGAAAATATTCTGCAAACTTGCAAGTCTGCCACAGACCTCAGATTTTAAAGTAGTAAATTAGCATAACGCTTCTGAAAGTTGTTAAGAGAATTCTGGATGATCAAATCTGTTATTTGCATGAAAATCAAACTCTTCCATCAGGACAATCTGGAGGAAATAACTGCTTTTT